ACTACAAAACCCCCTAAACACCAAGAAAACAGATAACTCAATTAAAAAATGGGGCTTGGAACTAAATCATGTTCTCAAAAGAAAAAAACTACAAATGACTGAGAAATATTTTTTAAAATGTTCAATATCTTTAGACTTTGGGGAAATGAATACTTAAACTACCTTGAGAGTTCTTCTTACCCCAGTGAGAATTATTATGATAAAATGACAATAATGACAAAAAATGTTGGTGTGGATGTGGGGGAAAAGGGAACCCTTGGTGGAGTGAAAATTGGTGCAGCCACTATGGAAATCAGTTATTATGAATATATAAACATGTTATAAAATTAAGCTTCAGCATAATTAAGCTCAGTAGAAACAGAAAGTGTTGTGATAGCTTATAAAATTAAACCTTTAAAACAATACTACTGGAACAAATGCTGTATTTCATTAGATTTAGTGTTTTTTTTTTCTTTTCCTTTTAGAATTTTTTCTTTGGTTCTTTATTGGAAAATGAAATTTTAGGTGATTATATGAAAGATGCTGAAGGGGCACATCATGAGTTTTTGTGTTACTTTCAAGTTAGTTCAATGGGCCTGGAGATATGGCTCAGTAGTAAAGGGTGCTTGCAGTTCCTTCAGAGGATTCCAGCACCCATGTCAAATAGCTCACTACTGTCTGGAACTCCAGCTCCAGGGGATCTGATGTCCTCTCCCACTTCCCCAGGCACTCACATGCATTGGCGTGCACACACACACACACACACACACACACACACACACACACACCCCTCTCTGCATGCACACACAAATTTAAAAATACCCCTAGTACTCAGGCTCCTGTAAAGGCTAACATGTTTGAGTTGGGAAAGAAATAGACACATACCATGCTTTTAATAGACAACCGAGGACACAGGGTGTGTTACCTTCTGTCCTCTTGAGGTAGTCCCTAGCTGGCTTAGTGTCTTAACATCTCAGGTTTTTTCTGGGTTCTCAGAACCTGGTAGCGATATGAAATGCTATCTTCTTAATTTTTAACAGCTTTTTGTTATAGTTGTATAAAATATAAACATATTTTGAAGTGAGATGATATTTAAAATAGCTTTCCAAATTTACTTTTAATTTTAATAGGTCATATGATATAAATTTTAGATGGAGTTATAGATCACCCCATATACAATGCTCTTTAGCATTATGCTTTCTTTTTTAAAGGTGTTGTATTAACAATGAATGTTTGTATGTAGGTTAAAGGTATAGCTCTATATATGCACAAGACTAATGAATCACTCAAAATTTTCTGTGAAATATTTATCTACATTACTAAGGTTATTTATCTTAATTTACATTTAACTAAACTTTTAAAGTAATTTAGAAATGAATAAAGATATATTTTCTAGGGACTATAGATCAGAAGTTGCCTGGAAAACGGCTACAGTTTATTTCAAAGTTCTTAATATTTTGTTTCTCTATTGTGTTTTAATTGTTGAATCTGGAAATATATTGTGGGAGTGCTGACTTTTCCCCTACATTCACATTATGATCGGTCAGAGCAATAAGTTAGTGATTGTAAGTATTCATTTATAAACACAAATTTATCACTTTCTAAACTGTATTTGTTTTATGCTTTCTGGATTTGATGATGTCTGATATGTTTATTATATTTTCACAGATATAATTGCAAAAATGATAGTAAGAGTAGTATTAGAATAAAAATATGTACTATTATTTCAGATTTCTTTGAAAGTCACATATCATCAGTCAAGTGTTTGTATTCAAATACAGCTAGTAATTATGCCAAATTTCTTTTTACAGACCAAATTGTTAATATCCAATGCATCTCAATGTATTGAATGGCAATAGTATTTGTAGAGTCAAGAGTCACATATTTTATGCCCAGTGAATTAGTTATCAGAGCATGACAAGAAGGGATAGAGTGGCTTATTGTCAAAATTTGTTCTAGGTTTCAGCAAACCACCCACATAAATATATACACTTATGTCTCGCTTTGCTTAGTTTCCTCACTCTTGAAATTGGGATATATTCCTGCCCATAGTTTGAAATTGGGATATATTCCTGCCCATATTTGGATGATTCAGTTATTTCCTTCTTTTAATATGAAAAAAACTTGACTGTAATTATTCCAGACATTAAATCAACAACAATAAAAAATGTAAAAGCCACTCTTTATTGCACATGGACAATATATTTGACAGTCTTCTAGTTAAGTGAGTCACTAGATTAATTACATTTTGGACATGCATTGATATTTTAGATTACTAAAAGTCAGATTTCTTGTTATTGTTTCTTCAAGAGATTCATCCTGAAATTGGAACGTGTTAATATGGCTCGCTAAGGAATCTATTGAGTGGTTAGTCTCACTGCATGTAATATTCTGCTGGTTATATTAGTTAAAAATGTTGCATCAAAGCGATCAAGTCTGTACAAAATGGATTGTTAGATTTTTTGGTACTAGGAAGAGACATAGTAGATATAACTGGAAATCAAAATGCAATATACCCTGTTTGATTAGTTCCCAGAGAGTATGGTTTATCTTTAATGCACATCATTTACCCAAGAATAAGTAGTGTTTTACCAAACATCTTATTAATAAGGATACTACCTATTCAGATTATCATTTCATTTTATATTTTTAGATGGAAGAAAAACCTCAGTCTTTACAATTCAAAGAAGTATAAAAGTGACATTGTAAAATTAGTGCCCCAAGACCTAAACTGAGAATATGAAGTCAATAGTGCACTGTTGCTAAGTGCTGGATAGATCAGCTACTGCACTGGTGCTAAGTGCTAGATAGACTGGCTACTGAAAAAACAGACTGTTACATGAAACACATTAATAAATACATCCATTATTCTCAGACTTTCTATAAACACCAACAGTTTATATAATGCAACATCATAAAAACTTCAAAGCATACTTTAAAATAATGTTTACACAATTGTTATTTATATTTACGATTGTTCAATTGTAGTAGAGTATGACAATTCCTAAAACGGAAAGAAAAAATAGCAAAGAAAGCAGAAAACAATGAATCCGATGACCCAGTTCACTGAATAAATATAGATGATCACCATATCCATATCAAACCACCATCCACGGCTGTCATCCTCAAAGTGCAGGTAGTCCATCCTGTGAGCACCATGTGGGAACTGTCTTCTTGTAACTGGAGCTGAATGTCTGTGGAATCCTGGAAGATGTATGAACAAATGACTTTAGAGCTCAATGAGTTCAGAAACATGTTTGTAAAAGTTGCGTTATCAACACAGTATCATGAACAAAGCAACCTTGTTTTCACTAGTATCTTGTTTCTCTGACATTTGCTTTTTCAATGTTCAGGGTTTTAAGAGCGGGGGCAGTAGACTGACCTAGCTCTGCTACTTGGGCCAAGTTACTAATCTTTGGGTCTGAGATTTTTCATCGGCATCATCTAATCCTGACTTGTGAAGATGAATTATTTTCATTTGCAGCATTTTCTAAATTTAAACCATCATAGCTGTTGCTATAACTACTGTATGAGACTTCATAGACTTTATATTGTTTTTTAGTTTTTATTTTTGTTTTTTGAAACAAGGTCTTCCTGTAGCCCCAGTTGGCTTGGAACTTTCTATGTAGACCAGACTGATCTTGATTTAATTGAGATCCACCTGCCTCTGCCTCTGGAGAGCTGGGATTAAAGATGTATACCACCATGCCTGGCAGTCTTTAAGTTTATATCTTATACCTTATAAATTTCATTCAGTTTAATTATTTTTTAAAAATATTTTATTATTTATTTTATGTATATGAGTGTATTGCCTGCATGTATGTAAATGTACCTGTGTTGTGCAATGCCTGTGGAGGTCAGAAGAGGGTGTCAAATCTCCTGGAACTAGAGTTATGGATGGTTATTAGCTGCCATGTGGGTGCTGGGAACCAAACCTGGGTCCCCTGCAAGAACAGCCAGTGCTCTTAACTGCTGAGCCATCTCAGCCCCTCAGTTCAAATATTTGAGCAAAGCTCTATGAGAAAATATTTCTCATTTTAGCACTGAATAAGTTGTACAGACATCATGGTACTCGTCCAAAGAAGATTAGCTTTAATTTTCATATTTGTCAAAGCATGGACCAAATTACAGAACTGTTTGGTAGAGACAAAGTAAACTTTACAAGTACAACCCCTTGCTACATTTCTGAGAAATACTGCACCTTATGAAATAATGGGCATATTTATTAGCTATGTATGTACAGCATGAGGATAACTTGGAGAATAGAAACCTGCTTTTGTTGGTTGGCCATTATGTAATATCTAAGGTATTTAAAAACAAACCCATAACATCATTATTAATCTTAGCATTTTTACTTAACGACTGCATACTTTAAATATTTTTGTTCACTAGTGTAAGAGAGTGAAGGCAGGAAAATACAACATTTGAATATAAAAAAATCTTCTGGTACTTTCTAGTAACTCTGGTGATAAAGGTCATGAGGCTCTAGCTTGAAGTAAATTCTGCTTCTACATCTGTAGCAGCTGAGTGATGCGAAGTGAGCCGCTCTGTTTCTGGCTGCTTATCCAGACAGCAAGGGTGAGTTCACCTGGCTTTCACAAGGCAGTTTAAAGTCTAACCTCTTTAATCAGGAACAAGTCTATCTTGCTGTTTATGTGTGTTTAATTATATATTTATTTATATTATGTAGACTTAAAACTTGAAAGGATGAGATAAAGGTGAAGCAATTGGCCAGGCGTGGTGGTACATACCTTTAATTCCAGCACTTTAATCCTCCTCTTCCAGGAGGCAGAGGCAGGCTGATCTCTGTGAGATCAAGGCCAGCCTGGTCTACTCTGTCTCAGAAAAACAAAAAACAAAACAAAACAAACAAAAAGATGGAGTGATGCTTTAGAGTAAATTGTAGAGCTACATTTCAAGTAGGTTCCTGATAATTACTGTCATCTGCTTCCTGTCATAATTTGATTAATTTTTTGATTTTGAATTTTTTTTTTGTGTGTGTGTATACACATGAGTGCAGTGCCCATGGAAGCCAGAGCAATCAGATCTACCAGGAGCTAGAGTTACAGGTGGTGGTGAGCTACCAAATATGGTTGTTGGAACTGAACCCCAGTCCTCTGGAAGAGCAGTATGTGCTTTTAACTACTGAGTCATCTCTTCAGCCCTGATTTCTTTATAGGACTCTGCTTAAGTTCCTTTGTGCTAGAAGTCTAGCTACAAGTATATAATATAATCCATTCAACTGGGCATTTGTACACTCAATATATTGAAACTTGTAGAAAAGGAAAACTAATGAAGTCAACCCTTTTGTGTTATTGACGTTTTACTTTTTCCTTAGCTAACATCACATACCACATGAAAATATCAGTGCCAGGCTTCATTAATTATTAAAACTTATTCTTTTATCCAGAAAAGCATAAATATAAATGTTATTTTCCTTCATTCGGATGGGGCTGGAAAGCTTTGCACTCCATGTGGCCATTCACATGGGAAAACATCACACAAGACAATTTCAATCTCAGCAATTTTCCCATTTTCAAAGTGGCAGTCATAACTTGTACAGGAAAAAGAGGAAGTAGGAAAAGTTTTTCTTACATTTAAATATTATGCAAATGAATCATCAGAAATATTCTCAAGGTAGTTTACATGCCTTTTAAAAGCTTCTTCACAAATATAGGCTAGCAATAAGGTAACACTGCTATTAGAAATTATTATTGGTATTAAAAGATGTGTTTTCTTCCTCATTCAAAAGGATTATGTATAGGCTCAAGAAAATTCAGATTAATTAATTCAAGTCTTAGTTGATTGGATCAAAGAACTAATGGTATTAATAATATATATGGTATGATGGTAGAAGTGGCAGAAAACCATAGCTAGAGTAGATAAGGGATAAAAGATGATGCTTTGTGAGCAGCGGGACTACACATGCTGGTCTTTTTGGACAGCCTCAAGGTACTTTTGTGTTGGAAGAATGATTTCACTAACAGTGTCCTCGTGAGTGCAGATTTTCTGTACTGGTTGTGCTGGATAGCTTTAGTGTCAACTTGACACACCTGGGTTGAGGGAGCCTCAATCGGGGAATTGCCTCTATTGGACTGGCCTGTGGCCATGTCTGTGGGGCATCTTCTTGATGAGTGATGTGGGAGGGCCCAGCCCACTGTGGGTGGTGCCACCCCTGGGCAGGTGGGCCTGTGTTGCATAAGAAAGCAGGATGAGCAGGAGCCAAGGGAGCAAGCCTGTAAGCAGCGTTCCTCCATGGCCTGTGCTCCAGCTCCTGCCTCCAAGTTCCTGCCCTGAGTTCCTACCTTGGGCTCCCTGATGAACTGCGTGCGACCTGGGAGATGTAAGACAAATAAACCCTTTCCTCCACAAGTTGGTAGTGATCAGAGTGTTTTGTCACAGCAGTGAAGAAACAAACTAAGACACTGGTGGAAGGAGGGAAAATAATGACCATGAGGAAGATACTATGCTTGACACCAGGATGGATGTAACAAGCTTTTATGGGTAAATTAGATAATGATCACTGGTTGTTTAATGCCATCTTCTTTTAATGTTTTTTAAAATGAGGTTGGGGTGAAAAGGCATTTACATCAAGCTTTGGCATTTCTAACAATGTGAACTGCATGGGATGATAGTAGATTCTAGAGCCACCTTGGACTAAAAAAAATCACTTTGCAGATATTATTATTTGGTAGGAGTTTGCCACTCATGACATTAGAGAATTGTCAGAATACCAGGCATAATGTTTAATTGAAGCTCCCAGTAGAAAATTATAACACAAATACCAAACTACTTGTCAAGTATGAGGATTAAATGATGTATAGCATATTCCTGGCCTGAGGAGAAAGTTCATGAAAGAGTCCTATTATCTTATCATAATAATTATCATTGGTTTTGTTAACATGAGGACAAATCTGCTACTTCCTGTCAGTGTTTGCCTTTCATGTATCTCTCTCTTTTTAGTAAATCGGTAAGCTCACCATTCTTTGCTAAAAATGGCTGTGCAAATGTTTTCCTTCAAATGAGTTGATTTTTCTAAATCAGTTGCTAAACTTAGACGGTCAGAACATCATATGTTGAAACTTCAGAATTTATTATGTTACAGAGAGAATATGGACTACATTTTAGTGATGATTTAAAGATTTTTGACATGGTGCCTGTCATAAAGAGACTCAGTCCAGAACACAGTCATTTTCTTAAAAAAAATTATCATCCTCATAGGAGATAACTTGAAATTATTTTAGTCAGTAAATTAAACTTAAACTTAAGTAAATTAAACTTGGATTCTCCATAGTAAGATGAATCAAATAGTAAGACCAAGGATTTCAACTGATAAAAGTTCACCTTTTGAAGGCCACTAATAGCTAAGAATTTTTTCTTTTCCCCAGAAGCCACTTTTAGTGAGCCCCCATTTAAAGTGCATGGTCTAGGAGACAATATACCTACATCCATTATAACAGTCAGTATCAGTGTTTTAATATCCACAACCCTGTCATTCTAGAAAGAGACCTGGACTGGAGTCAATAGAATGAAAGGATTCGGAGTTAGTAATTCATTTTTTATAGACAATACAAACTACTGTTTATGATATACTGATGATAATTATTTGGTATTGAGACATGGTTTAAAATAGTATCTGGGGGCTGGAGAGATGGCTTAGCAGTTAACATTGGTTGTTTTTTCAGAAGACCCGGGTTCAAATCCCAGCACTGTCCATAAACTCCAGTCCCAGAGGATCCGACAGCCTCTTCTGACCTCTGTGTGCACTGCACGACACAGGTGCACTTACCTATATGCAGGCAATACACACATACACATAAAAAAAAGTATCTGAGTATATTTCAATCATGCTGGTTTGTGTGTGTGTGTGTGTGTGTGTGTGCATGTGCAGGCTTGAGACAGGGTTGCTCTATAGACTCTGTTGGCCTAGAACTTGCTATGTAGAGCAGGCTGTGGGGGGATGGAGGAGGTATGGATGGGGAGGAGGTCTAAATTTGATTAAGAACTGTTGTAAGAAATTTCAAAATCTTAATTAAAAAAGAAAAGAAGACGTGTGTCACCATGCCACCATGTGAGCCACCACGTGGCTCTTCAATCATGCTGTTTTAAAGTAAAAACACAATGAAGGCACATACCTCATGCTTTTCTGGGGAGGGGCAGAGGGTTGTTAATTAGCCACATATTCCAATGAGAAAGGGCTGAAA